AGAGTCCACACTTGTTGGTATTGAAGGATGAGTGCAGCAATGTGGCGTGAAGAAGGTGGTGATTGGGGATGATGGTGTATTACGACTTTAGGGTCGAATTTGTGTTCATAATGTTGATTTTTTTGAGGGAGTTGATTCTTGAGGAGGCTCATTGTTCGCAGTCTTCTATTAATCCAGGTTTCACAAAGATGTATCGCGACTTGAAACAACATTACTGGTGGCAGAAGATAAAGAAGGACATTGTTGGACATGTTTAACGGTGTTTGAATTGTCAACAGGTGAAATATGAACATCAGAAACCAAGTGGTTTGACTTAGAGGTTGGTGATAACAAAGTGGAAATGGGAGCATATTACTATGGACTTAGTGGTAGGCTTAAAACGGACTTTAAGTAAGTTTGATATTATATAGTCATTGTGAATAAATTGACCAAATATATGCATTTCATTCCGGTGATGACTTCTTACACTTCAGAGAGGTTGTCTCATATCTACACCAGAAAGATTGTTCATTTGCACGGTGCACCCATTTCGATCATTTTAGACTATGGCACTCATATCACATTGCACTTTCGGATCAACGAGAGTTAGGCACACAGGTGGAGCTGAGTAGTGCATTTCACCCACATATAGATGGCCAACCTGAGCAGACCATTCAGATCCTTGAGGATATGTTAAGGGCCTATCTTATTGATTTTGGAGGCCATTGGGATCAATTCCTTTCATTGACAAAGTTTTCCATTAGTAACAACTATTAGTCCATCATTCAGATGGCGCCGTATGAGGCTTTATATGGTAGTAGGTGTTATTTTCCTATTGATTGGTTTGATTCTGGTAAGGCTAGGATGTTGAATACGAATATGGTTCATGCTGCTTTGGAGAAGGCGAAGTTGATTCATGAAGTCTTCAAACAACGCATAGTAGGCAAAAGAGTTATGCAGACAAGAAGGTCCATGATGTGGCTTTCATGGAGGGCGAAAGTGCACTTTTAGAAGTTTTTCTTATGAAGAGTGTGATGAGATTTGGGAAGAAGGGCAAGTTGAGCCCGAGGTTTATTGGTTCGTTTGAGGTGTTAGAGAGAGTTGGGGAGGTCGCGTATAGAGTTGTTTTTCCTCGTAGTCTTATGGAAGTTCATCCAGTATTTCATGTTTCTATGCTCAGGAAGTATCATAAAGATATGTCGCATGTTCTAGACTTCAGCACGGTGCAGCTTGATAAGAATTTGATTTATGAAGAAGAGCCGACAGCTAATGTAGAACGACTGGTTATAAAGTTGAGATCTAAGGATGTTTCTTCCGTGAAAGTGCTTTGGAATTGACAGCCGACTGAGGAGGCTACTTGGGAGTCCAAGACTGATATGAGGAGTAGATATCCGCATTTAATTACCTATTAGGTACATTTCAATGTACCTTCAAGGACGAACATTTCTTTTAGAGGTGGAGAATATAATGACCCGATAGGTCATTTTGAGTTCTATCTTTTCTTTTCATGATTTGAGACCTTGAATAGCTTCAATTGATAATTTATGACTTCTGTGCATGGTTCGTTTCGATTTCCGAAAAGTTTTTATGTGTTTTGATATAAAAATCTTAATTCTAGAGTTTTGCAGTTGTTGGAGTTGACCACGATTAATATTCTTGCTAAACAACCTTGGACCGATATTTTGATAATTCTAGTAGGTTCGTATGTTGATTTTGGACTTATACATATATTTGGTTTGGGTCCAGGTGATTCGAGGCTGTTTCAGTGCTTATTATTGAAAGTTGGAATTTGAACTTATGAACACTTAAAAATCTTTGAGTTTTGATGGTTGATTCTTGATTCTGATGTTATTTTGATGTTTTGAACTTACTAGCGAGTTCGTGTAGGATTTATATACTCGTTTAATATTTGGATGGGTTCCCGAGGGGCTCGAGTGAGTTTAGGATTTCAAGTTGTTTTGATAAGTCTTGGAGTTGATGGTGCTGCAGTCATTACAATTGCGATGATTTGCTTGCTCGTATTTGAGAATAAAACCTTGCTTTTACGAAGTCTGAGAAGGGGAGGTCAACTTTGCAATTACGAAGCTGGGATTGCATTTGCGATCCTCGTAATTGCGAAGCGAGTGTTCCATTTGCGACTTTAGTGTCTCAGGCGCCTCTTCACAATTGCGACCACTGGTTCACTTTTGCGAGCTAAGCAATTGTGAATAATAGTTGGTAATTGGGATATCCGCAGTTGGGATAACAATAAGAAATTTCAGGATTAGCTCATTTTATTTTATTTTTTAGACCTAGACAACACAAGGAGGCGATTTTGGAGAGGATTTTCTTCCCAACATCAAGGGTTAGTAAAATTAACTTGTTTTGATTAATTTTTGTTACTTTCTATATATTTTCATCTCTAAATCTAGGATTTCATAGAGTAGAAATGGAATTTTTCTGTAGAAACTTAAGATTTTTTTTAGAGATTTAGAACTTGAATTAAGGTCGGATCTCGAAGTAAGTTACATATTTAGACTTGGGGATGAATGAGTAACCGAGATTAGGTATTGATTTTTGATTTTGACCAAGTGAGCTCGGGTTGACTTTTTGTTGACTTTTCCGAATTTGTTAAAAATCGAACCTTTTTGATACTAGACTAGTTTCTAAAGCTCGTTTTGACTTATTTGAGTAGGTTTGACTAAATTTGAGTTGTTTTAAGAGTTGTTTCAAAGAGAAAGCGGCCTTGGATTGTTGATTTATTCTGGAATGAGATACGTTTCGTGGTTAACCTTGATTAGAGAGATTAGGTCGTAAATGTCTTACTTGCTATGTGCTAATTGTATCGAGGACGACATATGTGCATGATAAGGAGTGTATATGCGTTTGTTATGTGTTAAAGCATGCGGGTAGAAGTGTTTATTCATATCCTTTCCTAATTCTTGTGTTATTCTCTTATGTTCTATTGAATTGTGAGACTCCTTGATTTCTTACATGTTATTGGCAAATATTTTAGGCGTTGTTCGGATATATCTTCGAAATGTCTCTTAAAATATTGAAATGCTGGAGTGCCTATATGTTTATCCTTTCCTTGGTATATTTTGCTTGCTTGTTTTCTCTACGATATTATGTTGTGCTCCTTGTCATGTTCGTCGCTTGTTGGGTGCTTTCATGTGGACTGGTATTGAGATTAGATTGGGTTACACGGTGTAACTATATATTGGTTGGATCGGGTTATATGTCGCAACAATATTAAAACTGGCCCAAGTTGTACTTTTCAACGGTATTGAGGTTGGATTGGATTGTGCACCGCAACAGATATGATTTGAGATTATTTCTTGTTTGATGCTTCTCTTCTATGTTGTTTGTATCTTAATGTTATCCGGTGTAGTTATTTTTGTGAACCTTGTTGTTTATTCTCTTATTTGAACTTATTCTTTTATTCATCTCTCTATTTTTATTGCTTCCTGCTTATTATTTGCACGTGTTTATAAGTAAGCGTCTCTTCATAACCTCGTCACTACCTCGTCGAGGTTAAACTTGATACTTACTGAGTACATTGGTCAGTTATACTCATACTACATTTTTGCACTTCTTGTGCAGATCTAAGCATTGGCCCTAGCAGTGTTCAGAGGGGCGACTAGTTGGACTTCTGGAGACTCGAGGTAGTGCGCACCCTCGTTCGTAGACTTTGGAGTCACCGTCCTTTTATTTATTATTATTAAATGATTTGAGATAGTATTGTACTTCTTTTCTGATATTGTATTTATAGTATTGTACTTCTTTTCTGATATTGCATTTAACATTCTTATTAGCTCATGTACTATATGACACCAAATCTTGGGGAGTTGATGTGACAATATTCGGTTTGGAATTATTATGTTTTATGAAGCTTCTACCTTTATTTATAATATTATGAAATTATATGTTAGTCTTGCTTCCTTTATTATTGTTAAGTGTTGGTCTGCCTAGTAAACAGGGTTAAGCGCCATCACGATCCTTTTGTTAAGTGTTGAGATAATCCACTCATGATAAGGGTGTATTTGGGACAAAAGTCAAACGGAGGACAAATGTGTTCTACTTCTCATAGTTGAGTGGCAAATTTGAACCAATTCACTAATAAAGACATAGTTAGGACCAAATTTAAAATAAGGGCAAATTTGCTCTATTTCTCATAGATGAGGGGGCATTTTTTGCCTTTTTCCCCTTTAAATATAAAGTCAAGTTTAAGTTTGAAAGAACATGTATGAATTATGATGAAATGATACAACTATTCATAATAGACTCCTCTGAAACTCTATAAATTCATACCTATCTTTAAAGAAGTAATTAAGTCAATCTGTACTATATACAAAGACTTCTTTTGATCCTGAAGAGACTGGCCTAAATTTTATACCAAATACTAGTATATCGACAATATCTCTTCAAGGATAGTGATATTAATGTCAAAACTTTTCTTCTTCAATTTTGTTCTTTCTATGTTTCTAACAGTGATAACTCACGACTGTGAGGGTGCCGCCCAATTCTACATATTTTAGTGTTACTTTAAATGCAATGTTTATTTTGATTGTTACTTAAATATAATGTTTGTTTTGATTGTTACTTAAATTTTATTGTATCTTATTGTTAAATTCGGTATGTAACGACGAAAAATGCTACTTTTTGGAACGACCGATTCGGTGTGGTCGCGTCGTTAACTTATTTTTTTCTTTCATATTGGCCTTCCTTATTATGAAGTAATCTTATTTTATCTTTTACCCTACCTTTTTATATAGTAATTCTATCTCGTATATTACTTTTTCTTTATAATATTACAAGTTTATTCAATATATTGTTGGTGCATGACATCATGAAATGACGGTAATCAATACAATCTATCCAAGGATTGTATACATCAAAATAATACAGTACAATACGATACAATAGTATACTATATTATGAAACGATACATAACAACCATCCAAACAAGCTTTTAAGACCATGATGCAGGAAAGAAGAGCACAAAGGGCAAGAAAGTAAAAGGAGAAGCACTATGATGCATATATACTCAATACACTCATCATTATTAATATTGCAACTGAATACACATGATATATCATAAAACAACAATTTTACTTACCTTATTATAACACAATTCAGTCACTTATGTAATATCTCACAGCACACAGGTGGCACATAAAGATGGAAAGCGGAACATGAAAAAGGAAAACAACATAAGCATGGGAATTTGTTTAAAATTCCTAAGGAGAACATGTATAACTCGGCCCACAAGTTCTGCAAACGGTGCCACTAGAGCAGTCTGTATTTACCCTGCAGGGTAAAAGACAAGCTCTGTCATTAAGTGCAGGAATCAGTAGGCTTCCTTCCATAATATTGTAGGAGTACATATTTAATGGTATGTTTCGCGATGCCATCACTTGCATCCTCGGAACGCTCAAGACATTAACTGCATATTTATAAATCAATAGCAATTTAAAGACATATTTAATGGCAAGTTAAATTGGGCAGATCGGTGCACTAAGCTCCCGCTATGCACAGAGTTCGGGGAAGGGCCAGATCACAAGGGTCTATTGTACGCAGCCTTACCTTGCATTTCTGCAAGAGGCTGTTTCCACGGCTTGAACCCGTAACCTCCTGGTCACATGGCAGCAACTTTACCAGTTACGCCAAGGCTCCCCTATAAAATTAGTGTGCAAATACATGTAGAAACATATCATATGCTCATATATATATATATATATATATATATGAAAAAAAGAGAACTACTAACTAGTAATCGCCAAAAGGAGAGCAGCAATGAGAAAAGTAAATCTTATTTCCGGCCATGTTAACACAACTTTAAGAATTGCGACAGAGGAAAGTGTATTTGGTTGAATTGTATTGCTCAATTAAGGGCTTTATTTATAGCCCCACTCCAAAGTTTTTTTCCTCACAGAAATCAATATTTTATTATGAACTCGTGTATGTCGTGCATAACCTACTATGATTGCATTTCAAATGAAATAAGCAGTATTACTCCACCGTTTCATTGAATTACAAAAAAATGACACGTTTTAAAATTTTCTGATTAACAAGATTTTATAGCCACACATAGATGATATGAGTCATATGACGCGTTTAACATAAATTTTTTTAAATATTTTATAGCCACACAAATATTATGTAATTAGTCTTAGGGTACACGCATGATATACTATACAAAAACTGCAGTTCTTTAGATGATAACTTTTCAATTGACTAAACACAATACAAAATTGTAGTCGCTATCGCATTGTGTTACTTTTCTTTTTGATATCTAACGGATTTCATAGATAAATATGGGCTATGAAGATTTGTATCATTTTTCTATTTTAAAGATATAAAATTACAATGAATGAATGCAATTAACGGTGCGGAAAAAAATGCAAGGATAAAAAAGACAAAATCTTAAACTGATTAAGGAGTCTAATTTTTTGTTAACTCTAAACTGATTATTAATATTTTGTGCTCTCTAATGGAGTTATTAAACAATCAACCCTATGTCAAACGGAACAACATCACCAATCTTGAGAAAATATATTTTAGTCGTGTTAAAATAAAGGAAAGCATATGCTAGAAATTCAACGAAATTTTCCTGTGGAGTTTTGAAATTAAAAGTCAAAATTATTTTTGAATATTAATTTATGAAAATTGTACGGCATAAAGAATAAAGTAAAGAAAAAACTACAGGTAAGATGGAAATATGATTGAGATGATAATGGTAGGGAAAATAGATTGAGAACTTCGACTGCGCGTAAAAAGAAACAATGACTCAATGAAGTAAAAACAAAAAAGTTTACACTTAAGTTAAATCTGATGTAATTCTTTTTCTAACTAATGCAGTTCATTCATGCAAAAATTTCACATTAGAACAAGTGGACTCCCTACTTTTCAATTTTATAGCTCATATTTCAATTTACAACAACTAGCCCAAAAACAATAGGCTGAGATTCAACATCAAACTCCAATAGATTCTCAAAATTACTATTTAATTTTTAAAAAAGATTGCTCAAGCTTTTAAGTTAATTTTCGAATCAGTAATTGTGACTCAAATATTAGTTCAACAAACCAAATCCATTTGGTTGGCGAAAATTCGATTTTTAACAAGCTTAAATATGTGAGTTTAAATTCCGAATTTGATTTTATGAGAAATTTGGAGTGAATGTTATTTAGACTTGTTAGAAATAATATAAGGAGGTTGTATATAAAATTTGAAGTCATTTAATGGAGATTTGAATTGGTTTTGAACAAGAATTGCAACGGAAAATCGTGGAAGAAGTTTGTCTACAAATGTTTGTATAAAGGTGTATAAAAGTATATAATAGTGTATAAGATGTGTTTATACACTCATATACACTACTATACAAGATTATACAAAAAACTAACTTCGTCTTCTTCCTTGCGTCTTTTTCTGAAATTTAACTCAAATCTTGCTCACATCTACTCCAAATAACTCCAAATTTAAATTTTGAATTCCTTTTGATATTTTCAATCAATTAGAACAACATCCAATCCAAACAACAAACAAACGCAAAAAGTCCTATTTTCGAAAGCAAACTTTGAATGACCTTCAATGGTGGACTTCTACTCTTTACTTTTTTTACGTTGCAATCATGTGACATAGGGGGAGACGCAGTAATGGCGGACAACCCCTTGAAGGATATGTAAAAGATGTGAGAAGAAGAGAGAGTGAAAGCAATGGTTGTGAAAACACAGATTTAACTCCATAGCTTTTAGAAGCAATGGTTGTAAGAACAAATTTACAAGAGTTACTGTTTTCAAAATATGTACAATATGGGTTAGGTCGGGTAAAACTTAAAATCATGGGCCATTTTTTGTTATGCTGTGAAGTTGTCACGACACAAGCTACCACGTCGTGATGGCGCCTATCGTGGTACTAGGCAAGCTGACTCTTTACCAAAAACAACATGAAATTTTCATTTCTAAGATAAATTCCAGCTATTTCATAAAAAAAATTCATAAAGAAATTCTAAATAACGAAAGTGCGGAAAGAAAAGCCGGCATCGGGGTTTCACTAGTCGTGAGCATCTACTACAATTTATCCGAAAATACTGAGACTAACACACGCTGGAAAGTAACTACAAACAACTATATGAAGATAGGAGGGAGAAGAGTAGAGCTGCGATCGCCTGCAGCTACCTTGCTAACTCCGAGGAGATCTACAGCTGGAATAGTCAACAATCGCTACCGGGTCCTGATACACCTGGATATGCGCACAAGGTGCAGGAAGTCGTGATATATGATTTGGCTCCGGGCACTTAGCCCATTTCTATTCTGCCATATCGCATGGCCCTGCCAGAGTTGAAAGAATTGAAAGAGCAGCTGCAGGACTTGCTGGATAAGGGCTTTATTACACCGAGTGTCTCGCCTTGGAGTGCGCCGGTGTTGTTTGTTAAGAAGAAGGACGGATCGATGAGGATGTGTATAGATTATCGTCAGTTGAACAAGGTCACGATCCAGAATAAGTACCCATTGATGGTTTGTTTGACCAGCTTCAGGGTGCCCAAGTGTTTTCTAAGATCGACTTGAGATCTGGCTACCATCAGTTGAGGATTAGGGCATCCAATGTCCCTAAGACAGCTTTCCGCACTCGGTACGGGCATTTGAGATCTTGGTGATGTCATTTGGGTTGATAAATGCCTCAGTAGCTTTCATGGATTTGATGAACCAAGTGTTCAGGCCTTATTTGGATTCCTTCGTGATTGTCTTCATTGACGATATTTTGATCTATTCTCGCAGCCGGGAGGAGTACGAGCAACATCTTTGAGTCATTTTTCAGACTCTGAGGGATAGTCAGTTGTATGCTAAGTTTTCGAAGTGCGAGTTTTGGTTTAGTTCAATTGCATTCTTGGGCCACGTTGTCTCAGCAGAGGGTATTCAGGTGGATCCGAAGAAGATAGAGGCAGTCAAGAACTAGTCTCAACCCACATCAGCTACAGAGATCCGGAGTTTCTTGGGTTTGACGAGTTATTACCATCGGTTTGTGGAAGGGTTTTCATCTATTGCAGCCCCGATGACTAGGTTGACCTAGAAGGGTGCCCAATTCAGGTGGTCGGACGAGTGTGAGGTGAGCTTTCAGAAGCTCAAGATAGCTTTGACTACGACGCCGGTGTTGGTATTGCCTACGGGTTCAGGGCCTTATATAGTATATTTTGATGCATCGCGTATTAGTCTTGGTGCGGTGTTGATGCAGAATGGCAAGGTTATTGTATATGTTTCGCGACAGTTGAAGATTCACAAGAAGAATTATCCAGTTTATGATTTGGAGCTAGCAGCCATTATTCACGCGTTGAAGATTTGGAGGCATTATTTATATGGCGTGTCCTGTGAGGTGCTCACGGATCACAAGAGTTTGCAATACTTGTTCAAGCAGAAAGAGCTAAATTTGAGGCAGAGGAGGTGGTCAGAGCTGTTGAAAGACTATGATATCACCATCTTGTATCATCCGGGAAAGGCCAATATAGTGGCCAATGCATTAAGTAGGAAGTCAGCCGGTATGGGCAGCCTTGCATATATTTCAGTCGGTGAGATACCGCTTGCTTTGGTTGTTTAGGCTTTGTCCAATCAGTTCGTGAGGTTGAATGTTTCTGAGCCCAGTCGTGTTGCACAGTCGCTTATTCTTCATTATTTGAGCGTATCCGAGATCGACAGTATGATGATCCTCATTTGCTTATCCTTAGAGACACAGTGCGGCACGGAGGTGCCAAGCAGGTTATAGATAATGGAGTTTTGAGGATGCAGGGTCGTATTTGTGTGCCTAATGTGGATGGGCTTCGTGAGTTGATTCTAGAGGAGACCCATAGTTCCCGGTATTCTATCCATTAGGGGGCCGCTAAGATGTATCAGGATTTGCGGCAGCATTATTGGTGGAGAAGGATGAAGAAAGACATTGTTGCCTATGTAGCTCGGTATTTGAATTGTCAGCAGGTAAAGTACGAGCACCAGAGACCTGTTGGTTTGTTTTAGAAGATTGAGATTCTTGAGTGGAAGTGGGAGCGGATCACTATGGACTTCGTTGTTAGACTCCCACAGACTTAGAGGAAGTTCGATGTAGTATGGGTTATTGTTGATAGGCTGACCAAGTCAGCGCATTTCATTGCGGTGGCAGTTTCCTATTCTTCGGAGCGGTTGGCTGAGATCTATATCCGGGAGATTATTCGTTTTCATGGCGTGCCCATGTCTATCATTTATGACTGGAGTACGCAGTTTACCTTACATTTCTGAAGGGCAGTTCAACGTGAGTTGGGTACTCGGGTCGAGTTGAGCACAACATTTCATCCTTAGCGGACGGACAGTGTGAGCATACTATTCAGATTTTTGAGGATATGCTCCGAGCATGTGTTATTGACTTTGGAGGTTCTTGGAATCAGTTCTTGCCATTTACAGAGTTTGCCTACAACAATAGCTACCAGTCAAGCATTCAGATGGCCCCCTATGAGGCATTATATGGTAGGCGGTGTCGGTCGCCGGTTCGGTGGTTTGAGCCGGGAGAGGCTCGGTTCGGATAAGGTAAAGATCATTTAGGATAGGCTTTTTACAGCTCAGTCCAGGCAGAAGAGTTATGCCGATCGCAAGGTTCGTGATGTGGCATTCATGGTCGGAGAGCGAGTGTTGCTCCGGGTGTCGCCCATGAAGGGCGTGATGAGATTTGGGAAGAAAGGCAAGCTAAGCCCTAGGTTCACTGGTCCTTTTGAGATTCTTGATCGAGTGGGAGAGGTGGCTTACAAACTTGTGTTGCTGCCGAGTTTATCAGCTGTGCACCTAGTGTTTCATGTGTCCATGCTTCGAAAGTGTCACGACGATCCATCCTACGTGTTAGACT